AATGCCTGTGCTATTGATCTCAATAATTTTTTTTAACCATTTGTGCTTTTGGTATATTTTTAAGAAATTCTTCCCTACATTGGGATCATAAAATATCCTGTATAGGGACAGAGATCATATGGGTCACACAAAAAACAAACAAAAAAAACACCTTTACTCTGAGCCTTTGTGGGAAAAGTTTATTAATGATTGCTCTAATAATCTTTTAATTTAGAGTGGTTGTTGTTGTTGTCTTTGTTCGTTTTGGTTTGGTTTGGTGCTATACCTGACGATGCTCAGGGGTTATTCCTGGCTTTGCACTCAGAAATTACTGCTGGAGGTTTTCAGGAGACTAAACGGGTTGGCAGGAATTAAACCCAGATCAGCTGTGTGCAAGTCAAGTTCTCTTCCCTCTCTACTATTGGTCTGTCCCCAAGTTGTTGTTGCTGTTTTGTTTTCTCCATGGAACATAGTGTGAAAGTATTTTATTTTAATGTCTACTAGTCCTGAATTTCTTTCTTTCTTTCTTTCTTTCTTTCTTTCTTTCTTTCTTTCTTTCTTTCTTTCTTTCTTTCTTTCTCTTTCTCTCTTCCTTGCTTTCTTCCTTTCTTTCTTCCTTCCTTTTTCTTTCTTTTCTTTATCTTTCTTTCCTTCTTTCTCTTTCTTTCTTTCTTTCTTTCTTTCTTTCTTTCTTTCTTTCTTTCTTTCTTTCTTTCTTTCTTTCTTTCTTTCTCTTTCTTTGAGCCACACCTGATTTCAGTGCATACACATTCCACCATAGCTTCCTTTAAAAGTTCTTTTTGTAATTTGTTTTTTTTTGTAAAGTGTTTGTTTTTTAAAAGTTTTTTTAAAAGTTTTGTTTATTTATTATTAAAACTGCCCCTCCCCATTCTACCCCTTTCCCATCCCTTCCCTTTAAAAAAATTAATTTCATAAAGTAGTTCACAAAATTTGATTACATTTAATATTTGAACACTGATCCCACTACCATTACACCTTCCCACCACCATATTTCAGATATTTCCATCCCGAACCCCAAACCCTGCCCCAAAGCAGAACCAAAATAATTTATTTTGTATTGTTTGTTATGAAAAACCTATAGCTTCCTTTTAGAACTCCCTAGATTTGAAGTTAGGAAAACAACTTCTCTGGTGACAAAATAGCTCCATTTTCTTATTATTTTTCATTTCTAAACTTTAATCACCGTGTTCACTTTTATGTTTCAAGTACTACTGTGATGAAAAGTTTGACAAAGTTGAAAAACTTTAGAGGTTGGTGTAGGGTCAATCTACTTAAATTATCAGTTTGTAAAAGGAAGGGTGGCAAGGACTCAACGCTTGACCTTTCTTTTGAGAACGAACAATAGTCTCACCCTTTAAAAAATGTCTATGTATATGAAGGCAAGAGAGAATAGCAAGAAGTTGTTACAAACGTTTTCTAAAAAAATCTTTGTTGAACTCAAAAGGAGAGAGAGATTGCCCTGCCACAGAGGCAGGGTGAGATGGGAGGGATGGGGGTGGGAGGGATATTATCCATGGTGGTGGAAAATGGGCACTGGTGGAGGGATGGGTATTTGATCATTGTATAATCGAAACCCAAGCACAAAAAATCGTAAATCTACAACTGTACCTCATGGTGTTTCACTAAAAATTAAAAAAAAAAATTAATTAAAATAAAAAAAGAAAAAAATCTTTGTTGATAAGTTTTGCTTATTATGGATTTGGTTATTATGAATTTGCTTATTGTAGCCTTGAAGTGTGTTTTTAAGCAGTTGACTTCAGTGCACTCCTGTATAAGGAAAAAAAAACAATTGTCAAGTCCACATGGATATCTTAGGTTTCTTTTTAGATAACAGAAAATTTTTACTATACTTGGGTGTAGTGTACTTGCCTTTTACAGATACGAAAGTACATACTCTATACAGACATTTCATAGACCATGAAAGAAGAAGCTTATCTCTTTATTCTGCCACTCAGTATGGCCACTTCTAGGTCTTCGGATGTTGGAGGAAGCCCATGGGCTTTATTTTCTTTGAATTCAGATATATGTTAAGTAATTTAAATATTATATTCCAATTTCTTTATACAATCTCAGTCATGTAAGGAACAAATTAACAATGAAAACACTCTTCTGAAAGATAAACTTGATCATTAATTAGCAGAAGAAATGCCTAATTATTTAATTTTGTTCATCTGTTATTTCAAAAGGTTATGTCAAAAGATCTCATAAAGACACTAAAAATTGCTAACGCATTAGATTGGAGAGTACTACTTCTTTTCATTGTTATTTTTAGGGTTCTTTCTCTCCCTATCATATAAATTTGAAATTCTTTAACTTGGGTGCAAATAATTCTGTCCTCCGCCCCTCTCGGAGAGCCCGGCAAGCTACTGAGAGTATTCGATATGCCAGACACAGTAACAACAAAGTCTCCAATGGAGACGTTACTGGGCCCGCTCGAGCAAATCGATGATCAACGGGAGGGCCTTTACTTTACTTTACTTATCAAATGAATATCTTTTCTGAAGTTTATTCTATCACCATATTCATTGTTTTTTATTTTCCAAATGAGATTATATCCAATCCTTTTCAATGGAAACTTCAGCAGACCACATCTGAATAAATTCTCTTTTATATTGTGAAGGAAAAAGAATCAACTTACTTTCTATTCTGCTTTCATTATCTACTGAAAAATAATCTTTTTTTAAATTTTATTAAATTAGTCAATACATTTTTATTTAAGACATCCTGTTGTGATGCCTTTCTTCTACAATTCCACTAGAATTGAAAATCAGGGATTCGGGCTGGGGCGATAGCACAGTGGGTAGGGCGTTTGCCTTACACGCGGGCGACCTGGGTTCGATTCCCAGCATCCCATATGATCCCCTGAGCACCGCCGGGGGTAATTCCTGAGTGCAGAGCCAGAAATAACCCCTAAGCATCGCCGGGCATGACCCAAAAAACAAACAAATAAATAAATAAATAAAATAAAAATTAGGGATTAAGTGAAAAGCTTAAGTGAAATTGATTTTGAAAAGTGTTATGTTAGAAAGCAGTTTTAGGAGTTGGGGAGATAGTATATAGCAGGTAAAGCTCTTGCCTTTGCATGCAGCCTAGCAGTGTTTGATCCCCAGCATTCTATATAGTCCCCTGGGCCCCGCCAGAAGAGATCCCTAAGTGCAGAGCTAGGAGTTAGTCTTGAGTACAGCCAGGGGTGCCCCAAAAAGCAAAACAAGTTTTATAAACCTTGAGAAAAACTACTTTATTGAATTACACTATGCATGGCCATTTATTTATCTCCATATCATTATATTGGAGCCTGGCATTTCAATATTCAGAATCAATTGAAAAGAAATAGTTTTATTTCACTTATTGTATATATGAAAAGTTTGAAGTTTTGAAGAGTAGTTTTGCTACATTTAACTCTTTTATTATTGTTTGCTAATTAATGTGAACTTTGCAAAGGTCCAAAAGGGAATTTGGTCAGAAATATCATGATATAATTTGCATTCCATTTTCTGTGACCATAAATTGTTAGATATTGCAACATATGTAACATAAACCACATGTCAGCTGTTTCCTGCCTCACTATTGACAAGAGCCCCATTCATAACTCTTCTTTTTATCCTTTCAGTGAATAAGTAATTATTCAATATAGAAGGCAGGATATTTGGAACTGGCTATTTAATGTGGCAGCACTCTGTAATGAAATCTGCTGTTACTGGCAACCTGAGAGGGGAATGTAACAATTCCAGCATGGCTGTAACTTCATCTGCTTTGACTGACTGTTTATTTGGCACATCAGTGAACCTTTTATCCCAGTGAGTGACAGCTCCAGAAGGGTCACATTTACATCCATTCTATCATGTATTGTAATATTTAATGGCGGACAAGGTTGAGCGAGACTGGGAGTAATTTGAACTTGCTTTTCCACGGAGTTGAGGCTAAAAGACAGCTTGATACCCAGTGTTGTGGTGTAACATGCTATGACTTAGCATTTGTTTATGAAGGCTAATCTTACTGATTATAATTTTTAAAAATCTTCAGTTAAATAGTGTATTTGTTCTACTAAATTAAAACTCTCTAGTACAAATGCTCTTACGCTACTGTGCTTTTAGTCTCCCTCACCCACCACTGCCATCAGTAACTACTTCTATAAACAATATCACAGTATTTTTTTTAAATGAGGCTGCATTCTGTATAGTAATTGAATTTGAAAAGGAAGTAGTTAACAGCCTATGGATTCTAATATAGCATTAGGTTTTTTTTAGAGTTTGGAAATAAAAATCAGGTAAATGTTAGACTATATTTTTGATGATTTATGTGGTATATTTAAGGAGGGATTTATCTATTTCAATTGAAATTGAATTACAAATAAGATCTTCTAGGAAAAGTATTTCACATGATAATTAAACTGATGGATTTGCATTCAATGATAGGTAATTGAATTTCAGATGTTTATATTCCACATAAGCAACTTAGCCTTCTAATTTGCATTCATCTTAAACCTTTTGATAGAGAATAATTTTCTCCTTTTTTATTAGTAGTACTTGTGATTCAATTTGATATTTATTTCTTTTGTAAGCTGATCTTAAATGTTTTAGAAACATTGTTATAGAATATTTGAATGAACTATGCTGTTAATAAAAATAGCATAATCAACTCTAAACCATAATATCTTAAGTTTACTTGAAGCCTAAACAAAAAAATTAAATTGTCTTCCATTTTGTCTTAACATTTTTATAACTTATGAAAGAGAAGAGTTAAATACATTTTAAATACTTGGAATTTGAGGATTGACGTGGTATGTTAGAAAACAAATAGGAAAGCATAAATTTATAATAAGAGTGGAAGAGTACCAATTTGGTGTGGGTTTTATTTTTCTGTTAATGAATGGTAACATCTAATAGCTTTAATTTTCTCTTGGTATGAGATTCATTATTTTAGATTCTGATTTCATGTGAAATGTGATAAAATTTTTTGATAGTCCTGACATTAGTTCTCTTTTCTTTCCTTTGTTACAGCCTTCTGGTCACTGTTCTAGCTGCTGTTGTTCTACTAAACAAGGAAACAATCAAGATTCTTCAGATACCCTTAAGAAGGATCATGGGGGGAAATTCAAGAGACCCAAAATATATTTTGGGACTCGCACACACAAGCAGATTGCTCAGATTACTAGGGAGCTCCGGAAGACAGCGTACTCAGGGGTCCCCATGACTATTCTTTCCAGCAGAGATCATTCTTGTATTCATCCTGAAGTAGTAGGTAACTTTAACAGAAATGAAAAGTGTATGGAGTTGCTGGATGGAAAAAATGTGAGTAAAATGATTTTGCTTTGTTTTGGGGGTAAAAATGTTAAAATTAAAATTGCTTTACTTTCATATTTTTAATGTTTTGTACATGCATTTCTAGTGGTATCAACAGGAATTTCGAACATTAATTTTGAACAAAAATAATTTTATGAGAAAACCTTTATTCAAGTTTAAAATCATGAATTTTATTCATAAAACTTGGGGCTATTTATTGAAATAAGATCTTAGTTATCTTATTTTATTACTTCTTTTAAGTCCTTTATCAAAAATAGTCAAAATAGATAATATCTGAGTAGAAAAGCCAGTTTAATTAGATTTAATTAGATTTTTTATTTAAAAACTAAAAAGTAACAGAAGTCTCATGCATAAATTTTTATTTATTATTGAACTAAAATGTTTTAGGTGTGCATCATTGAAAATCAAGATGTATATTCCATTTGTACTCATATCTCTCCCCTTGTGATCAACCACTTTTTGATCATAAAATTCAAAAGTTTGTGAGAAACTAAAAAATGTTTTTTATTAAGAAATATGGTTATTTTCTCTCAATTATGTTTAGTTCAGACTTCTAAAAAATAAAAATATTAATTTGAAATTTTCTAGAGAAATTAAATATGAATTTGGGATGGTGGAAATGGAGGGCAATATCTTCACTATAAACATGATTTTTTAATAATTTTTGACAGTACTCAATTGCTAATCTCTGTGCCAGAGATTTTGATAATTAATTCACTCTGAAATTGAAGTTGTAAGTTTGGAATAATAACCAGAACAATCAGTGAACCATAACATTAAATGACAGATGATATTATATTATATTTTGGAAGTTTTTCTTTCAGTAGTATTTTATCTAATAGAGTGAGTTCTACAGAAAGACTAAGTTACAGCCCCTAAAAAATATGTATATATACTTAATTAATATATCACCTTCCAACATATAATGTGAATAAATTATTTTGCTGTTCTATTCTCAGTGTTTTCTTTTGTTAGAGAGAATTTATTCAAATCTTTTTTGGGAATGTTCAAAAGATAGTTCATTAGATACTCATTCATGAGACTCTCATGTTCTTTTTAAACTGAGTGAGAACCTGTGGTATCCCTTCACTTAGCGTAAGTGTATATATAATATGTTATTGCTGTTTGTTCTTGAGCCACACCCAATGGTACTTAAGACTTATTCCTGGCTCTGTGCTCAGTGATCATTTCTGGAAGTTCTCAGGGGACCACATAGAGTATTGAGGATCAAACCCCAGTTAGCTATGTTCAAGGCAAAGCACCTTACCAACAGCCTACTTCCTCGCTGGCCTCACTCAGTATACTTTATTGATTTTGTGGTGCTAGAACCCAAACCCAGATTCTCCAAATGTAAGACTTGTGCTTTACCAATACCTGATCCAAGTCTGTATATCTTAAAAGTTTTCTTCTTCAAAAGATAAAAATATTAAAAGGTTAAATGTTATAAAATAAAATAAAAGGCTAATAAAACTTAATAAATTTGTATTCAAATAGACTTTTTTCCATAAGTGGCTGATATATTAAATTTTTCAAATGCTTAATGTTTAATTTTTTGGGGAGGGTCCCAAGCTGTACTCGAGAGGCCTGGGGATTACTTCCAGTGATACATAACCAATCTGACTGGACTGTTCAATTCTTGGGCTGGCAATTGGCCCAGGACTGCTATGGCTATACTTGGTTGTACTCAGGTCTTCAGGACTACTCCTATGGGAATTTGCAATCCTAGGGATTAACTCAGGGCCTCATGCTTGGAAGGCATATACTTCAGTCCTTGAACCCTTGAAACTTGATTTTTGGGTACTAGGATTATCATTATCTTTTTACTATTTGTCTTTGGGACAGTTATGTGATTTGTTTATATTTTTGTATTTTTTATTTATTTATTGTGGAGGGGCCCATCATGTGGTGCTCAGGGCTTATTCTTGGCTCTGCACTCAGGGATCATTCCTGTTGGGCCTTGGGGAGATTGAACCTGGATAGGCTTCAGGCTAGGCAAGTGCCTTCCCTGCTGTATTATCTCTCCGGCCCCAGTAAATGCAGTTTTTAAAGTTTAAGATTGTGTATTGAAAACAAATAGTCTTATTTTATGAAAACTTCTAGAATTCCTTCATTACTAGTACTTTTTCATATTTTCTTGAGTCTGAGTCTTATAAAAATAAAATTGACATTGAATTTTCAGGATTTTTATTATCTTTTCATTTTCTTTAAAGTAATCATGTATTTAATTTTTTAATATTAGCAATATAAATAATAGATGATTTTTGCTCATAGTTGTCTTGACCTAATTGTGCCTCACTGCTTAACTCATAGGCATACATGAACATTCTTTTTCCTGTTCACAGTCCCTCAGGGTAATTTGGTATTGTAATGAGGGCCAATTACAAAGTCACCAGAGGTGTCCGTGTTTACTATGGCTGAATTACCAAAGCTAAATGTTAAATAGATAGCTGACAGTTTGAGTGAAAAAGAGTGTGATAACACTTCGCTTGACAGACTCTCCTCAGGGTTGTATTACACTGCTAAAATGGATGAGCTTTTCTGGTTTTGCTATCAGCCTACACAGGAGTGTCATTCTGAGTGCCCTTAAAGTGTAAACTTTCTGATTTTTTGGCTTGATCCAAAAGCACACGTGTTTGGTTTTTTTTTTTTTTCAAGGTTCCTTTTACTAAAATGCTCCTATGTAGGAAAAGCATTGTACCTGTTTGTCAGAAGTTGTTGTTTTAATGAAGAAAGTATAACCTTAACTAGCTCCAGAAATAATTGCAAAAATTATTTTAGGTATACAAAACACATAGTTTTTATTAAGATGAGATTTAACAGCTTACAGTGAGAAACTTTATAGGCAACTTAGTGATAATTTTGTACAAATATAAGTTTTTAGAATGTGTGCAGATGTGATACTTGGAATAAAGAAATGTGAATATAACAATATTAAATTTATCTGTATTAAACTTGTCTGCGTCAGGCTAAGGTACTTGACACATCTTCACCTGATTCTGGACCTCAGAATCAGAATTTTAAAGTAGGGAGACTTAGATATGGTACAGTCAAGTCAGTCAGTGGGCTAGAGGAATTTCTAAAGGCTTCTGGTTCAGACACATCTTTGATATTTAATCATGAAAAAAATAAACCCTAAAGTATGTCTAGTGCCACACAACTAATTAGCAAGAAAGGAATCTGTTTAAAATCTTGACCATTTATATTTTGATTACATTAAAAACAGCAGAAAATTAGCTTTATGGCATGGGGTACTTGAGACAGCAGGAAGGGTAGAAAGAGTAGAAACAAAGTAACTGAAAATAACATGGGAAAAAGGAGCCAAGTAAAGAAGGTCAGGTCTCTTTCCTCCGTTTTTTTGTTTTTTTTGTTGTTGTTTCTTTAAATACTTTGGGAATTCCAAGAAGTAGATTCCCTTAGTGTGACTGCATACAAAGCATTAGAGAACTAGTAAGTCCTTAGGTGATGGTGCCTTATCTTTTTATTCATTCAGATTCTCCTGTACATTATGAACCTTTCACAATGACCCATTTCAAGCATTTTCTAGGTACATCTTAAAAATCTAATTTTTTAAAGGATTACATATTTTGTATGAACTTACAATTATCTTATTTCCTATTTATTGGCTATTGATATATTGTGATCATATTCACATAAATGGCAAAATAAAACATTTTGGTTGTCACTGACCAAATTGCTTGTGAACAAATAAAAGTACAATTTTATACTTACAATTATGCTTGTAATTCTATTTATTTTATACATCTTTTAATAGTATGTGACATATACTTTTTTTGAGACGATTTTATCAAATTAGATTTTTATTAAGAAATTAAATTATTGAACTTTTAGTTAAAACAAAATTTAATTTTTTTTTTTTTTTTTTTTTTTTTTTTTTTTTTTTTTTGCTTTTTGGGTCACACCCGGCGATGCTCAGGGGTTACTCCTGGCTCATGCACTCAGGAATTGCCCCTGGCGGTGCTCAGGGGACCATATGGGGTGCTGGGAATTGAACCTGTGTCGGTCATGTTGGCTGCGTGCAAGGCAAACGCCCTACCCGCTGTGCTATTGCTCCAGCCCCTAATTTTGTTTTAAAATTAAATTATAAAACTCACTTTTTTGTTAATTTATGTTTGTAAAATTTTTTACTATTAATAGTAAAATGTAGAGAACATTAACAGGTAATGTATGAAAGAAGAAATATAAGTTACTATAGAAATTTGGTAAATGTTTTTACAATATGATGTTAAACCTTGCTTGCTAGAAGAGTATAATCAAAATAAGATTCCATTTCTTATCTTTAAAATAGGGAAAGATTAAAGTTAATAAAAATGTCAAAAAGTAATGTACAAGTAACATTTTTGGATGATAATTTGTGATATAGTTTTCAAGAAACTTTAGACTTTCTACTCTCTCTAATCCCATACTGTCTTTTCTAAAATTGAGACTAATTATATGGAATAATGCTGGTAGTATTCAGAAAATAGAAATAAGTGTTGTTCATATTGATTATCCCTGAGTTACATAATTCTATTTTAAATTTTTACTTATAGGAAAACTTCTACAAGTGTGTCCTTTTTTGGCTTTATTTTTGGGTCACACCCGGCAATGCTCAGGACTGACTCCTGGCTCTGCACTCAGGAATCACTCCTGGTGGTGGTGGTGCTCGGCGGACCATATGGGATGCTGGGAATCGAACCCGGGTTGGCCGCGTGCAACGCAAACGCCCTACCCACTCCAACCCCCTAGTGTGTCTTTTTTATGTCATAAAAACATTTGTCATTGATCCACAAAATAAAAATGAGCATAAATATATGTAATGTTGGTTTATAATGATGTACACCCCCTGAAATCTACAAAATATAGTAATGCAGTGTTAATTAAATTTTAAAAAGTTTAAAAGTTAAGTTATTCAGTAACAGGCAAAAATTATTATGAATATTTATAAGGCAAAAAATATGTAGTCTTAGGTACTCAGTTTTAATAATGAGGCTGGTTCATTTTGGTATTAGCATTGTACATATTTGGGCAAAAGTAAAAAGAGTGATATAAAATTATAAAAATTATTTTTTGGTAAGATTTTTAGTATAAGGAGGGGAAGTGATCCTATTTTCATAAAATGTGTTATCATGGCTAATTTCCTTGCTGGGGAAAAATTTGCTTTTTTTCATAGAATTATTTGGCCATATTATAAATATACGTATATACAGATGTACAAAATCAATAAGAAATGAAGTGCATCAGAATATTAATAGCACATTACTTGTGTGATTAAATTATATAATTTAGATTTTTGGTGGGATATTTTTATATTTTGTTTATTCCAAATAATTTTTGATTTATTTTATTTTTTGGTTTTGGGTCACACCTGGCAATACTCAGGGGTTACTCCTGGCTCTGCACTCAGGAGTCACTCCTGGTGGATTTTGGGGAACCTCACAAGGTGCCAGGGATTGAGCGTGGGTCAGCTGTTGCAAGGCAAGTGCCCTATTCACTGCACTTTCTTTCTGGCCCCTATTCCGAATATTTTTTAATGAACTATATTTCCCGTCCTAGGGCATTTGTTCCCCTTCTCCCTTTCATCCATCCTTCCTGTTTTTTCTTTCATTCCTCTTACTTTACCTCTTTCTCACTTTCCCTGCCTTTTTTTCTTCCTTATTTAAGTTTGATTAGGTAATACTGTCCCATGCCCTAAATTTAAAAGGTACAAAATAGTCTATAGAGAAAAATCTACTATTGCTATTCCCAACTCATTTTGAAAGCTGCCAGTGTTTCTTTTACTTTTGTCTATCTTTTTAGAAGTATTTTTGCCTGTTATCACTTTTATCAGAAAAAAGTTACGACAAATATGATTTAAAAAATATTTATGGCAAATTAATTTGGGAGGTATCTCTTTTCTTTGATTTTGTTTTTTGGGCCACACCCAGTAGTGCTAGGAGACTACTTGCTTTCCTGTTAGGATGACCATGTGGCAAGTGAGTCACATATGCCTGACCCTAGTTTGGGCTGTCTGTAACTCTGTTGATCTAGTGCTCTGTCTAAATCATCAATCATTATTTGTATAAAATGGTTGTGATTGTAGGTATGGTAAAATCTGTCTCTATTGTAAAATTTGTTGACAAAATTAAAATGTTTCTAACATTTTGAAATAACCTGTTTCATTTTTTATTCCAGTATTCACATTTCAGTTTTTCTTGTTTGTTTTTAGGGCAAATCCTGTTATCTTTATCATGGTGTTCATAAAATTAGTGATCAGCACACACTGCAGACTTTCCATGGGATGTGCAAGGCATGGGATATAGAAGAACTCATCAGCTTGGGGAAAAAATTAAAAGCATGCCCATATTACACAGCACGAGAACTAATAGAAACTGCTGACATAATTTTTTGTCCCTACAACTATCTTCTTGATGCACAAATAAGGGAAACTGTGAGTAGATATATGAAAATCATTATTAACCCACCCATACTTTTTTTGATGTGTAACTGTTAACTTTAAAATCTTTGGAATGTATTGTTACATTTTATTTTATTTTGATTTATATTTAGCTTTTATGCTGTTTAAAGAACTAAAATCACATTCTGAGGTATATAAAAAACTGAATTTTCAAATTTGACATTTAAATTTTATTACATTATCTATGTTATAATAGTCATATAGATTAATAGAAGCTATTTTTCCAAAGCTTTATAAAGTACATTTTGCATATGTGGTAAAGGTAAAGGCCCTCCCGTTGATCGTCGATTTGCTCGAGCGGGCCCAGTAACGTCTCCATTGGAGACTTTGTTGTTACTGTGTTTGTGCCGGAGCGATAGCACAGCGGTAGGGCATTTGCCTTACAAGCGGCCAACATGGCTGACCCGAGTTCGATTCCTCTGCCCCTCTCGGGAGCCCGGCAAGCTACCGAGAGTATTTGATATTTGCATATGTGAAAATAAATTAATTCAGAATATTTATTTACTATAAATATAGGTTGCATAGAATATAATTTTTATATAAAGTATTTAAAATGACAAAAAGTAAATGTTATTAAAGTTAAATGAAATTAAAAGTAATAAGTACATGGGGCAGGAGTGATAGTACAGCGGATAGGGCTTTTGTCTTGTATGCAGCCAAATAAAGTTCGATCCCCAGCACCCCATATGGTCCCCCAAACACCACCAGAAGTGATCCCTGAGTGCAGAGCCAGGAGTAACCCTGCATCTTTACCTTTACATGACATATCCAAAGTTCACAGGACTAACAGCCCAGTAGAAACACAGAAAGTTAGATGGGAAAGGTGTGTAGAAGCTCACTAAGCTCAATGAGTGAAAACAGTAGCCAGAAGGCTCAACTCTGTAGCACCTAACAGCTCAGCAAATCCTTGGACAATGACTTCAGTAACACCATTATGAGATATATGTTGTAACAAGGAATACATAGTAAATTATTTTCTGCTAAGGAGGCAGGCTGGGGGTGTGTGGGTAATTTGGGACATTGGTGGAGGGAAGGTTAGACTGATTCTGGGATTGGTGTTTGTAAATTGAATAGCTAAGTGTATTATGAGCAACTTTGTAAATCATGCTGTTTAAATAAAATGTCAAACAAAAAATTGAAAAAATAAAATTTAAAAAATTCTTAGTTATAGCCAAATATTCTTTGAGGGAGGGAAAAATTGCTTCCATTTGAGATATAGCTGGCACCCTCTCCATTTATAAATAGTCAGAAAAGATTGCTTAAAAAACATTTAAAGAATCTGATTGATCTTACATTGGAGAATTATGCATAGGTGCAAATTAGACTTTGAGAGTTTGAAAAGTCAGTTTTGTATATACAGCATTTGTGTTTATTTCTGTATTCTTAGAGGCATTCAGTTATTATTGGATCACTTGTATCACTTGTCTTCCCGTTGCTCATCAGTTTGCTTGAGGGGGTGCCAGTAACGCCTCTATTCGTCCCTGTTGCATGCTAGTGTAACTCAGTGGCATCTGCTCACTCCAGGAACACGAATTGAGGCCCCTTGATTTGTTACTATTTTTGGCATATCAAATATGCCATGGGTAGCTTGCCAGGCTCTGCTGTATGGGCGAGATACTCTTGATAGCTTGCCGGACTCTCTGAGAGGGACAGAGGAATCGAACCCGGGTCAGCTGTGTGCAAGGCAAACTCCCTACCCGCTCTGCTATCGCTCCAGACTTCCAGGTCATAATTCTTTTTTTTTATTATTATTTTAATTTTTTCATTTTTATTTAATGAAACACCATGAGGTACAGTAGTAGACTTACAAATTTTTATGCTTGGGTTTCAGTTATACAATGATAAAGTACCAGGTCATAATTCTTAATGTTACTTTTATTACATATTTCTTTTTTTTTTAATTTTTATTAGTGAAACACCATGAGGTACAGTTGTAGATTTACAAATTTTTGTGCTTGGGTTTCGATTATACAATGATCAAGTACCCATCCCTCCACCAGTGCCCATTTTCCACCACCATGGATTCCAGTATCCCTCCCACACCCATCCCCCCATCCCACCCAGCCTCTGTGGCAGGGTATTTCCTTTTGTTCTCTCTCTCCTTTTGGGTGTTGTGGTCTGCAAAAGAAGCATTGAGTGGTAGTCATGTTCAGTCCATAGTCTACTTTCTATTATATATTTCTTCAGCTTAAAAATCCTTTGTGGTTATCTTTGCTCAAGGGAAAACATCAATATTTTAAAACATTTTTTTATTGAATACCATGAGATACACAGTTACAAAGTTTTTCATTATTGAGTATCAGTTGTTGTGGGGGTGGAGCGATAGCACAGCGGGTAGGGCATTTGCCTTGCACACAGCCAACCTGGCCAACCTGAGTTCAATTCCTCCGCCCTCTCAGAGAGCCCGGCAAGCTACTGAGAGTATCTCATGTGCACTGCAAAGCTTGGCAAGCTACCCGTGACATATGCCAAAAACAGTAACAACAAGTCTCACAATTTGTTGTGAGATATTACTGGTGCCCGCTTGAGCAAATCAATGAACAGCGTAGGACAGTGCTACAGAGCTACAGAGTATCAGTTGTCCAATGTTCTAGCATCCATCCCTTCACCAGTGTACATTTCCCTCTACCAATATTCCCAGTTTTCCTCTTGCCTCCTTTCCTCCCCTTCATCCCCAGCCTGTGTCTGTGGAAGATAGTTTTCTTCTCTCTCTTCCCCGCTTCCCCCTTTTTTCTTTTTAGGCACTGTGGTTTGCAATACTGTTACTGAGAGGGTATATCACTTTACCTCTTTTCAGTACCCAGTTGTTATCCAGACAGATCATTTCCAACCATCATTATCATGTCCTAATTGCACGTCCCTTCTCTGTCCTAATTGCATTCCCCTGCTCCCTTTGGCAAGCTTACTACTATGGACCAGTCCTCCAGGCCCTCATTTTTAGAGTATTCTCTATTGTTTTAGAGTATTCTCATACTACATTTCTTTAATATACTACAAATGAGTTCAATTATTCTATGTCTGTCCCTCTCCCTCTGATTCATTTCACTGAGCATGATACTCTAAGCCATGCCCATTCATCACTGTCCTCCCATTGTTCATCGATTTGCTTGAGCGGACCCAGTAACATTGTGAGACTTGTTACTGTGTTTGGCATATCGAATAAGTCATGGGTAGCTTGCCAGGCTTTGCCGTGCGGGCGAGATACTCTCGTTAGCTTGCCGGGCTCTCCAAGAGGGGCGGAGGAATTGAACTCGCGTCGGCCACATTGGCTGTGTGAAAGGCAAACGCCCTACTTGCTGTGCTATCGCTCCAGCCCCATGCCCATTCATATATAAGCAAATTTCATGACTTTCTTTTGCTAATGGCTGCATAGTATTCCATTGTATATATTTATTTATTTATTTACTCATCTGGTCACTTTTAAAATCTCATTCTGAATAGTGCTGCAATGAACATAGTAGTGCACATGCCTTTTCTGCATTGTGATTTTGGACCACAGGGTATATTTACAGGACCTGCATTGCTAGGTCATATGGAGGCTCAGTTTCTAGTTTTTTTGAGGAATGTCCATATCATTTTACAGAAAGGCTGGCCCAGTTAACATTCTCAACAACAGTGAAGGAGAGTTCCTTCTCTCCATCTCCACGCACCACTAGTTGTTCTTTTTGGTGTGTGCCTGTCTTTGTGGTGTGAGATATCTCATTGTTTTAATTGCATCTCCCTGATGATTAGTGATGTAGAGTGTTTTGACTATTTGTTACATCTTTTGGGGGGGAAGTTTTTGTTTGTCTCTTCTCCCCATATTTTGATGGAGTTGGAATTTTTCTCTTCTAAAGTTCTACTGGTGCCTTGTATATCCTGGGTATTAACTTCTTATCATATCACTTTGTAGTACAATTTTAAGCTGGAGAAAGTGATACCTCCATCTTCTTTTTCCCAAGGATTGCTTTAACTATAGTTAAAGTGCTTGATCTATTTCTTTGAAAAATGTCATGGTTATCCTTTCAGGGACTTCATTGAATCTGTACAATGCTTTGGGTAGTATTGCCAATTTAATGATAATCCTCCCAATCCATAAGTAGGAGATACGTTTCCATTTTATTTCTTGTGTTTCCTCTTTTATTTCTTGAATTAGTGTTTTATACTTTTCTTTGTATATGGGTCTTTCACCTCTTTAGTTAAGCTACTATTGATTTTTCTAGGCACAATTATGATTGGGATTTTTTTTATGTCTTTCTTCTCTTTCATTATTTGCATATAGAAAAACCATGGACTATTACATTTAATTTTTTTTTTTGGTCACACCCGGCAATGCACAAGGTTACTCCTGGTTCTGCACTCAGAAATTACTTCTGGTGCTCAGAGGACCATATGGGATGCTGGGAATCGAACCCGGGTCGACTTCATGCAATGCAAACACCCTGCCCACTGTGCTGTTACTCCAGCCCTGATTACATATTAATTTTGTAGCCTGCCACTTTACAAATCTATTGCTTGTAGGAGTTTTTTGTGGAGTCTTTAGGATTTTCTAAATAGAGTATCATGCCATCTGCAAATACTGAAAAATTGCCGTTTTCCTCTCCTATCTGTTTGTCCTTTATATCTTTTCTTGCTTAATTGTTATGGCAAGTACTTCCAGTGCTATGTTAAATATTCGATATGCCAAAAACAGTAACAACAAGTCTCACGATGGAGATGTTACTGAGCCCGCTTCAGCAAATCGATGAACAACGGGAGGACCGTGACCGTGATCGTTAAATAGAAGTGATGAGAGTGGGCAACCTTGTATTGTGCCTGATCTTACCAGGAAGGCTTTTAGTTCTTCCCCATTGAGTATAATGTTTTCTGTGGATATATGGTAAATGGCTTTGACTATATTGAGGAAAGTTTCTTCAACTCCCATTTTGTTGAGAGTTTTAATTATAAATAGAAATGGAACTTGTCAATTGCTATCTCTGCACTTATTGATATCAGCTGGTTTTATTTTTTTCTTTTATTGATATGGTGCATTATGTTGATTGACTCGCATATGTTAAACCATCCTTGCACCCCTGGGATGAATCCTACTTGGTCATGGTGTATGATCTTTTTGATGAGTTGTCGGATTCTGTATTTTGTTGGGATCTTTACGTATGTATTCATCAGAGATTTCAGCCAGTAATTCTCTTTTTAAATTTATTTTTTTGGTGTATCTATTGCATTTGGTGTCAGGTGATATTTACTTCTTAGAAGCTGTTTGAGAATGTTTCTGTTTCTTCATTTTCCTGAAAGAGCCTGTAGAGGATTGGCAATAGATCTTCTTTAAAGGTTTGAAAGAATTCACTAGTGAATCCATCTAGGCCTGGGCTTTTGTTTTTGGGAAAACTTTTGTTTACCATTTCAACTTCCTGGATAGTGATAGGCCTGATCAGGTATTCCAAATCTTCTTAGTTAAACCTTGGGAGATTATAGCCCAATAATTTATTCATGTCTCCTAGGTTCTCCTGTTTCGTGGCATAAATGTTCTCAAGATCCTTTGAATTTCTTTGGTATCTGTTGTGATATCACCCCTTTCATTTCACTTCTCTTGTTTCTTTGAGTTCATTAAATTTCTTCAACATTTTGTTTCTGAAGTCTTTCAGAGAGGTTATATAGGTGGATATTCCCGGTTGAGACTTCAGGGCTCCTATCTTTGTTCACTTTCTGTGGTAGGGTTCAGTGCTGTTTTCCCATTGTGCCTGTGGTAGTCTGGGGATGATTCTTTCCAACATACTGTCACTCCCTCCGGCCCCCACCAGGGAGAACTCTGAGGGAACTCCATGGATGGTAGTCTCTTCTTTCCCCATTAGAGATATCTGGTGTTCCTGTGTAGTTGTGTGGACCCTCTTCTGCTAATTCAAGGAATGCATTTTGGGCCTGAACTAATTGCTACTCTGTGATTAGGGTTCTACTATTTACTTTTTCTTTTTGGGTCACACCTGGCGATGCACAGGGGTTACTACTGGCTTTGCACTCAGGAATTACTTCTGGTGGTGCTTGGGGGACCATATGGGACACTGGGAATCGAATACGGGTCGGCCATGTGCAAGGCAAACACCCTATCGGCTATACTATTGTTCCAGCCCCAGGGCTCTATTATTTCTTGCTCCAAAGGCTGCTTTTGTGGATTTTTGAGGGAATGTGGATTGGAGTAAGGGCTTATATATGATTGGCCTAGTATGATTGGGGTAGCTTGGTTGCTTTAGTGAAAGTTTAGTACAGGAGGCCAAGATGTGGACCTTATAGGATATTACCTGGTGCCTACTTGGGAAACCATGCCTTCCACTGATCTAACCTTGGAGGGAGCCAAATGTTCATGGCATTCAGGGGATCTCGCCAGGTTCTGCTGGGTTGTTCTTGGTCCCTCATGGAGCTTTTGAGTGACACTGGGTTTTATTGCATGGAAGTTTCTACCTGCTGGTTCTCATTCACTGGAGAGGGAAGTTCAGGAAGACACCTGTGCTCAACATTTGTATTTCTTAAGCTTACAATCAAGATGCTTGCTTCATTTGTTTTTCTTTATTTTTTGAAGGGGAGCCTTTTTTGGGAACCAAAACCTGTTGTACTCAGGCACACTCCTGGCAGTACTCTAGGGATTATATGTAATGCCATGAATTGCACTCAAGTGGGCTGTATACAAGGCAAGCACCTTACCCACCATACTGTCTCTCTGCTCCTCAAGATGCTTGTTAGCCTGATGTGTATTATATACTTTTTCAGCTTTCTCTGATACAAACTCTCAGCTTGAATCCTTCAAAAGCTTTATAATTGTCCCTGGGGGTACTTTGTTTTTTCTTACATCTATGACTTCATGACACTTCTGTTAAAACACCTATACTTTATGTATCCAGAGCCAGATTCTGTTAATTTTTAAAATTCCAGTATATTTACCACTATTCCTGGTTCTTTATCAGCTATCTTCATCTTACTATTTTTCTATATATTATTGATATATTATCACCGCCTCATAATAACACACTGGAATTTTTTTGTCAGAACTGTGAATTACATGTGACACAAAACCATCTTCAAAAGGATTTAGAAAAAATACTTGACATTGTAAGAACTTTATTTTAGGCAGGTTTTCCTGTGAGAATAAATGTAATCACAATCAGTTAACCACTCTTGGAAAAAATAGCATGATTTTATATTAGTGTCCCTCTGCCCCGTGCCAAGTTCTTTGAATGGGTACCTGGGATTATACATTTTATTCTTGAACTAGTCACTGAATCCACAGAGAGATAAAACTGCTTGACAAGCCTGGATTTTAAGTCTACCCATTATATAGAAGCAGTGACATCTTTTGATAACTTGTAAGTTGAGAGAGCAAAGCTCAAAAGGAAGCAGAGTAAACAGAACAGTTACATGAGGTATTAGTGTTTTAAGAATGTTTTAAATCTGTCATTGTTATTTTATTTTTAGTTTTTTACTCTGCTTTTAAATTATATTGAAGTATCCTTTATAGTGGGAAGTTTTATACCCCTTTGTATAACCAGCCATATTTTTATCTTGGCTTACTTACCAAGAATTATTTAGGTTGATAAGTTTGCAAAGTTTTAGAGTAAAAAATGGCATACTCCTTTTAGGTGATATTTGGTTGAAATTATTTCTTCATAGTTTTAAGACTTAGAATCAATTGCTTATGTTTATTGCACTGACAATGTTTGATCACTAGTATGAATTTTTATTTATTTTGTTTTTGGGTCACACCTGGCAGTGCTCAGGCTTGACTCCTGGTTCTGTACTCAGGAATTACTCCTGGTGCTTCCCGGGGAACCACATGGAATGCCAGGACTTGAACCTGGGTCCACTGTATGCAATGTAAGCACCTTACTTTCTGTGCTATCTCTCTGGCCCCTAGTGTGATTTTTTTTTCTTGTTTGTTTTTTTGTTGGCTGCGTGCAAGGCAGACGCCCTACCCGCTGTGCTATCGCTCCAGCCCTTTAAGGCCTACAGCACCCGGTATTCCCAGGCGGTCTCCCATCCAAGTACTAACCAGGCCCGACCCTGCTTAGCTTCCGAGATCACGGAGGCGCGGCTCTCCCGCCGCCCTCAAGAAGTGAGTGGGTAGGGCGTCTGCCTTGCACGCAGCCAACATGGCGGACCCGAGTTCGATTCCTCCGCCCCTCTCGGAGAGCCCGGCAAGCTACCGAGAGTATTCGATATGCCAGACACAGTAACAACAAAGTCTCCAATGGAGACGTTACTGGGCCCGCTCGAGCAAATCGATGATCAACGGGAGGGCCTTTACTTACTTTTACTTACTTTACTTGTTTTTTTGTGGTCCACACCTAGTGATAGGCAAAGGTTACTCCTGACTCTGCATTCAGAAATCACTCCTGGCAATGTTGGGGAGCAAATGGGAGGCCAGGATTCAAACCCAGGTTGGCATGTGCCAGACAAGTGCCTTAGCTGCTATACTATTTCTCTGGCTCCACCTAGTGTGAATTTTTAAGGGAAAAAGCTTGCCCACTTCTTACTGCTATTGAATCCATTTTGCTGAATGTTTTACAGGAAAATTATTTTGTCTTTTAGATGGATATCAATCTGAAAGAACAGGTTGTCATTTTAGATGAAGCCCATAACATTGAGGATTGTGCTCGGGAATCAGCAAGTTTCACTATAACAGAAGTTCAGCTTCGGTTTGCTCGAGATGAACTGGACAGTATGGTCAACAATAATATAAGGAAAAAAGACCATGGACCCTTGCGAGCTGTGTGCTATAGCCTCATTAAGTAAGAGAATTTGTCTCTCTGACATTTGTGTTGCCTTTGAATGAAAAACACATTGTGAGACTAGGGATGTGGCTCAGTATGAAGGACTTGGACTTGGGTTCAATCTCCAGCACTACAAAATTTTTTTAAAAAATAAAGACATGTTCTGTGGTTTCCTGAGCATGGCTAGAGTTACCCCTAAACTCAGCCAGCTGTGGCCCCAAAACAAAAGACAAAGAAGTGTAATGTGTAAAGTAGGAGGGAGTAATTTCTTTTATGCTGCTATGATATTATAGATGTTTAAGGTGGCTCACAGGAACCCTGACTCAAAAATCAATTCTGGTTTAGAAAAAGAGATGAATAATCTTTATAGAAACAAGCAGAAAGCCATGTCATTTGTTTTGTAGGGGACTCACCCAGCAGTGCTCAGGGCTTACTCCTGGCTCTGCATTCAGGGATCACTCCTGTGGGTGTTAGGGACCATATGCTATGCTGGTATCAAACCTAAGTTGACCACATGGAAGGCAAATGCTCTTCCCACTGTATATCTCTCCAGACCCACATTTCAATTCTTAAAGGCATGGCTTTCTCAAAGGTAGAGATGGCCTAAACTCATTGTGGTTCAGAAATTTCACCAGAGGCCTAAAATCACAGTCCTGGTGCTGAAGTTGCAGGAAGGGTCTTAGAGAGTTATTGGCATTCAAAAAGACTTATAAATGGTAAATTTATATATTTCCTTTCTTTGTTATTATATAAAATATACTTAGTATTGTACAGAATGGTATTATGTGTCTGGTCAATTACTAAAATTTACTTGAGAGTTGCATTCCTATTTTTTCACTCTTGCATTTTACATCATACTCTCATGTAAATTGACCGATTCTTATTTCATGCTTTTACTCTCTCTGAGATTGGATATAGTTTATGAAGTCTGCTGTATTCTTTACTCATTTTTTTAATTGTATTTAATCTTAAGTCAATTAGAGATATATAGTTTCAGGGTTTTGTATTTTTCTTCTATTTTATTATTTTTCTATTTTTATACTTAGTGTATATGTGTAATAATTTTTGATTGTCTTGATATATATTGTTTTCAATAGATTAAGCTGCCTATAATTTTAATTTTTGTTTATCTTGTTTTCCATTTGATTATCTTTGTATGTTAGACATTCTCTTAAACTTGATTAAATTAATACCCTCAGGTCAGAAAAAAAATAAAAACATGTTGATTATGCTAGAGCATTTTAAAATTGGTAAGCTACTTGGGAAGTAGCAGCTAAATGTTTAAAAATAGATTATTTCAGGTCAGTGATGTAGCTTAGCAGTAGGGCACTTGACTTACTTGTGCGAAGCCTGGTTTAATCCCTGGCACCACAAAACAAAACAACAATTAAGAGTAAGGTAGTCTGACCCTTTATGTACTGCTCTAATTTCTTACCAGTGCAATATCTAGCAAAATGTAGTCACATAATCTTATTGAATGTACATTGTTTGTATGTATTAATGAGTATGTTACATATTTCCTAGGATTTTCTTTGTTGTATGCCAATTTATAATCCTTTCTTTATTAGATTTTAAAATTTCATTTTTTGTGCATTTGGCATAAGGTCCTAAGACCGACTTTCAGGTGATAAGATGTTAATCATGGAAAGCAGTATAAATGCACAGAACACAATTAGGAAACCACAAGCATGTTCTCTTTTCTGAATAAAAGCTTTTTTAGCTATGTCACTGTCACTGTCCTCCCGTTGTTCATCGATTTGCTCAAGCAGGCCCAGTAACGTCTCCATTGTGACAATTGTTTCTGTGTTTGGCATATCGAATATGATAAGGGTAGCTTGCCAGGCTTTGCCATGCGGGCGAGATACTCTTGGTAGCTTGCCGGGCTCTCCAAGAGGGGCGGAGGAATCGAACTTGGGTAGGCCATGTTGGCTGCTTGCAAGGCAAACGCCTTACCCGCTGTGCTATCACTCCAGCCCTTTTTAGCTATAAAAATGCTTATTTTGTGTAGTTGGAGGGATAGTTAAGATGAGGTTAAGATGCTTGCCACACATGCAGCTGGCCCTGATTCATTCCCTGGCCCAGTATATGGTCTCTCAAACACTTCCAGGCGTAACCTCTGAACATAAAGCCAGGAGTAGCCCCTGAGCACCTCTGAGTGTGGCCCTGAAATTCTCTTCTAAAATTCGCTTCACTTCACTTAATCACTTAATCCCCGTTATTCATCGATTTACTCAAGCGGGTGCCAGTAACGTCTCCATTCATCCCGGTTTCTTTTCTAAAATTAAGTTAAAATATTTCTTTTTCAGCATGAGATATGCGTATTTTTTAAAAATGACTTTAATTTGCACTGGTGTCTTAAGAACTTAAAGGAATACAGATCACAGATCACAGTGAATCTTTTTCTAGTTGAAGTATACATAGAAAGATGCCACTGGTTGATGGACTTGTTTTAACTTATTACAGTTGGTTAGAAACAAATTCTGAACATCTTGTGGAAAGGGATTATGAGTCATCCTGTAAAATATGGAGTGGAAGTGAAATGCTCTTAAATTTACACAAAATGGGCATCACCACTGCTACCTTTCCCATTTTGCAGGTAGGATTTTTTTTTTTTACTTATGAAATTCATTTAGTGAATTTGGTATTATGTAATCATGAACCAGATAATCCAATGTAAAAATTAATATTGGTGCTTAATTGTTGTAAAATTTTGTTTTGTGATGTTTATTGTTTTTAAGTGCTCCAGTAAATTGTGAATGAAAAAGTAACAGTGTGGAGGAAATAAAACTCAAAGGGATTATTGCTTTGTTAAAAGCTGTATAAATCAAAACATTAGATTTTAAATACTTTTTTAATTATAAAAGTTAAAAAACTTAGAAAAATAATAAAACAAGATTCATGTTTTCTTTAGTTCCTATTTGTAGACTCGGGTACTTAGAAATGTGAGTAGGCTATAGGCTACTATAAACCTTTTGAAATTCTATGCAAAATTTTGATTATGTAATTTTGTACATACCTGGGGAGATTTCATGTCCATATTCTCAGAGAACTTCTTCAGTTTTGTTTAATGCAAATGAAAACGTTTTACTTTTAGCCTCAATTACTTACTTTAATTAATGGGGAGATGACTCATGTGGTAGAGTATGTTCCTAGCATGTGTGAGGCACTGAGTTGGATTTCTATCAACCTCATCTCCCCCTCCCATGTCAGCACTGCCAGTATGGTTCTAGTGGCGTCCAAGCAACCTCGGGATCAAGTAGCACTGAACTGTTATGTTCATACCACCTAGACAAACACTGGAATAAGTGGCCCCAGTACCTCTATTAAGGGTGGCCTCTATAAAAATTGGAAGCAGCCAGAGAGATAGTATAGGAGATAGATAATGTGCTCACCTAGTACTCATGGACCCTGGTTTGATTCCCAGCACGACACGTGTCCCCTCTATCACTGGGGTCACTCCTGGGTACAGACCCTGAACCCTGGATGTGGTCTAAACCCCTCCTCTCTGAATTAATATAGGATTTTTTTAAAGGAGTGATTTGGTTTGCTTCTAGAAAATTTGAGTAAAAGGACTAGAATTCTAATATACATTCTCACGTATACCTGTACATACCTACTATAGTTTCTCTTATTAATGTCTTGCAGTAATACAGTACAATTATTGTAATTGGTGAAGTAATATCTTTACATTATATTTAACTGAGCCATAGGTTACATTAGTGTTTACTCTGTGTTGCATAATTCCAAGAGAGTCCTTTCCCTTCCATTTTCCTCTCCTGTCCTCTCTTTCCTTTATTATTATTGTTGTTGTAATGACCAGGGATCTCATACTTGGCCGTGGTACTTACCAGGAGTAGCACACTGGGTCATGGTGCTTGGGATCACAGATGGAGTACTAGCAGTGCATGTGGGGCAGTGCCTGAGCTGACCCCTGGTTCTATTAGATTAGGTAAAAGCATAAATCATGTACTTTGATATATAACAGTATAGCCTGCAGTATATCTTCATTGCTTTAAAAATCGTTTCATTTCTTGACATTGTTGTGCCCAAGTTTCAGTTCCCCAAATGCAGAGAGACCCAGTTCCACACACGATAATGCAAAAGCAAAGGAACAATATTACTAGCCCGAGCCAGAGCTAGCTCAAGCTAGGGTCCAAGTCTCATCCAACGCAGTAGAGTTTTGACAAGGACCCCGACTCCAAATCACAGGCAGTTTATATAGGGTTTAGAGTTAAGAAACAATTTATATACTGTTCTATTTTAGCATTGGCCTTATTACAATGGTGATCAGCAATTAGGCAATGGTTAGCAACAGTTTATAAAGGAGGGGACAGTGATCCTTCATGACCGACCAGACCCAATTGCCCAATTTTTTATCTTGGCAAATTACTCAACTGGGAGTTTACCAGAAACTGCAAGTCCTGCTCTGGGAAAACAGAAACTGAGGCCTAACTGAGACTTAATGTTAGCTATAGGCTGTCATGGCTGCTGAGGAGGCTGCTTTTTGGGCCTCACAACATCTCATTTCTTCTCTAGAACACTGCCAACCACTGACTTTTATTGATCTTAGTGTTATGACTTTTTATAGGGACATTTTTCTGCTGTACTTCAAAAAGAAGAAAAAGGCTTTTCAATTTATGGTAAAGAAGAGTCAAGAGAAATCCCTATTATTAGCGCTTCTACTCAGATAATGCTCAAAGGACTCTTTATGGTGCTTGATTATCTCTTTAGGCAAAATAGTAGGTAAGTAAAATATCTGATCTATATTTACCTCTAAAAATAATAGTTTTATTGAGTGTGAGTGTGTTTCATATATACTAATTTAGTGTATGTACTTAGAGAAGTTGTTAATAAGTGGTATAAATAATCCTTTATTAGTACAGACTATGTCCATTGAAAATTAATGAGAATGTGTATTGAATTTAGCAAATGAACATATTTAATTCATCATTAAATGCAGCCAACCCTGGTCCAATCCCATGCATCTGATACGGTCCCCTGAGCATCGCCAGGAATAATTACTGAGCACAAAGCCTGAGCATCACTGAGTGTGGTTCCCCCAAAGTTAAAAGAAATTCAGGGCCAGAGTAACCGTACAGCAGATAGCGTGCTTACCTTGCTCACAGCTGACCTGGGTACAATCCTATATGGTCTCCCAAGCACCGTTAGAAGTAATTCCCAAGTGCAGAGCCAAGAATAACCCGTGAGCATCTCCTGGTGTCGCCCAAATACACATATACACACACACACAAACACACAAATACACAAACACACACAAAGATTTGTAGTTGAAATCATAGTAGAGCAGGTAGGGTTCTTGCCTGACACACGGCTAACCTGGGATTGATCCCTGGCATCCTATATGGTTCCCTGTGCACTGCCAAGAGTAATTCCTGAGTACAGAGCCAGGAGTAAGCCCTGAGCATTGTTGAGTATGATCCCCAAGCAACAACATAACAAAAAATTAATTCAGCATAAAGTTTATAGTTCTCTAGGATTATACTTAAGCCATCTTTTGTTTTGTTTTGTTTTTATTTTTTTACTAAGGGTCATGCCCAGTAATACTGCAGATCAGACTCAGAACTTTGCACATTCTAGGCATGTGCTCTTACCACTTGAGCTATCTCCTCAGTTCAGTGTCAAAAAGTCGCTTTCTTGTTGCATTTTATCTATACACTATGAGCAAAAGAAAGTCTCTTTCTTGTTGCATTTTATCTATACACTATGAACAAGGACTATGAAAATGAAAAGCAGTTAATTTCTTATATTCTATATTCTATTCTTGCTTAAGTTTTATTTTCACTGTTTTTATGGTAGAATTATGTAGAGTTTCTGTGCTGCAGCTACAAGCTTCAAGCATCACTGCAGCTCCACCAGCCCGTGGCCATGCCGTTACCATAAATTTGCTTTTTCTGAAACTGATGTGGTATATTACATTAGTTGATTTGCTTATGTTTAACCATCCTTGCATCCCCAGAATAAAGCCCACTTGGTCTTGTTGAATGATGTTTCGGGAGAGATGTTGAATTTAACTTGCTAGTATTTTGTCAAGGATCTTTGTTATCTGTGTTCATCAGAGATATTGGTCTGTAATTCTTCTTCTTTGTGCTGTCTCTGCTTTTGGTATCAGGGTAATGTTTCTGTTTGTGATTGACTTCTAATCTCAGGGTATCGTAGTCTAGGAAGATATTTAATATAATTTCTATCTCATTTACTTTATGGAGGTATGTTTTGTGGCCCAGCATGCGGTCTACCTTAGAGAACGTGCTATGTGTGTTGGAGAGGAATGTGTACTTGGCTTTTTGGGGATAATAAAAGGGGATTTTATATAAAAGGGGATATATATCCCTCTCATCCATTTCTTCAATACAAATATTTCTGTGTTGAGTTTTAGTCTAGTCGATCTATCAGGAGGTGTCAGAGTGGTGTTTAAGTCTCAAACTGGTTGTATGCAAGGCAAAAAACACCTTAACCCCTATACACCTTAACCCTTAACCTCTGGCTTTTTCAGTTCAGTTTTTATATAATCAGATTTTATATTGGATGTATATATTATAAAGTTTCCCCACTAAATTAGCATTTTGTATTTATATAGATTTGCAGATGATTATAAAGTTGCTATTCAACAAACTTACTCTTGGACAAATAAGAGCGATTTCTCAGATAAAAATGGGCTTATTGTTGTACCAAAAAATAAGAAACGTTCACGACAGAAAACTGCAGTTCATGTGCTTAACTTCTGGTGCTTAAATCCAGCCGTGGTAAGCTTTGCATTGCTCAATACCAACAATTAAGTAATTTGTTTGACTCTTTTAGAGAAAATTTTATATACTTAATGCTGTTTTCTTATAGGCCTTTTCAGATATTAATGGAAAAGTTCGGACAATTGTTTTGACATCTGGCACATTGTCACCAATGAAATCCTTCTCTTCAGAACTTGGTGTTACATTTGCTATCCAACTGGAAGCCAATCATGTCATTAATAACTCACAGGTAACTCTTTTCCTCTTGTTTTTTAGGCCACACTCAGCTGTGCTCAGGGCTTACTCCTGACTTTACACTCAGGATCACTCCTAGAAGAGCTTGGGGGACATATGGGATACTGGGGATTGAATTTGGGTCAGCTGTGTGCAAGTCAAGCTCTCTACAAACTGCAGTCTCTCCAGCGCCATAAATAGCCTTCCTTAGCTCAGTGAATGGAAAATTACACTTTGCATATAAAGATTGTACTGCAGTTTAATATTTAATCCTCATTGAAGCTAACTTATCTTTAATTGAATTAAATTAGTTAATTAATTTTGGTCATTGGGCACTGTGTAAATACAAAAACGAGAGCAGCAGTCTATCTCTCCCGTCACCTGTGTTCAGTAGTCTCACGCCGGTTCCCCCATCCCGGGGAGGTGGATGGTGATGGGCAGGCAAAGGAAGGAAACGAGAGCCAGGCTAGTTGGTGTCAGTTGCAGTTTGTTCCATTCCCATCTCCATTCTCCTCTGATTCTCCTCCTGCTTCTTCCTCCCCCATGCTACTTCATTCTCCTCTGGCTCTGAAATCTGGATCTTGATCCCCCAGCCCAATCTTACTGCCTAGTTAAATCCCCAAACCATGAGGGGTTGGCATTTACACATAGTTGTGGTCACAATCAGTAGGGGTAAAGTTCTTTCCCTCAAGGGATACTTCTTCTAGGACAGATACCTATTAGCAGGACGACCTACCCAAGAGCGAAATCCCATGGGTGTTTCTCCTCCTTGTCCAACAAACATATAATCATTCATAATATTAATCATTTTGTATGGACACAGTAAGAAGTACTTTAAGCTTATAGAATTGCTCTCCTAGGGCCATCTTGATCTCAGACTACTGTGCTCAGGCCAGATTGTCTTTCCTATCCCTAGCAGGGTCCTAGTCTCGTCGTTACTTTTGGATCATGGCAGCATTTGTCTATGATCAAGCTCTTAACTTATAGTTAAGAATCGTGGCACTTTGGTCTGGCCCATTTCAATGCCAGGGTAGCTCACAGCTTTCCTTGGGTCCATTCAGTCCCTCATTGGGACCCTGCTTTTGGGGTGCTAGGAACTAAGACAACTGAGACTTAAGTCGAGAAAGCAGATAAGTTACAAAAGCATAATATTAACTGTCTTCCTGTAGCACTGTAGCACTATCCTCCTGTTGTTCATCGGTTTGCTCAAGTGGGCCCAGTAATGTCTCCATTTTGAGACTTGTTACTGTGTTTGGTATATTGAATACGTCAATGGGTAGCTTTCCTGGCTTTGCCATGTGGGCGAGATACTCTTGGTAGCTTGCCGGGCTCTCCAAGAGGGGCGGAGGAATCAAACCCGGCTTGGCTGGGCTGGCTGTGCTCAAGCAAATGCCCTACTGCTGTGCTATCGCTCCAGCCTGTATCTATACAAAAAGGATATTGCTTTAAAGTAAACTATTCAAAAGACATAAAGAGAGGAGAAAGGCAATATTAACTTATAATACAAGTTCAATGGCCTAGAAAAATCTGACCTTACAAATGAACAGATTCTGATTGGAGGGAAAAGCTGATTAACAGGTTGGGGAAGGGAGCATAGAGAATTGGTTAGAGATAAACAAAGTAATGGGAATGATTTGGGAGCACTGTGATGGGTGTGACCTGATAAACCTTGTGGCAAGGGAGAAAGAACAAATCAATTGTTATCCTACAGGCCATACCTGATGGTCTTCAGGCTTACTCATGGCCCTGTGCCCAGGGATCATTCCTGGAAGACTCAGGGAATATATGTGATGGTGGAGATCAAACCCACCATGCAAGTAAAGTGCCCAACCTGTTATACTATTGCTCTGGCATGAAGCAGTCTATTTTTTCTTAAACATTTTGTTATATTGTAACTTAGTGCTTATAGTTTTGATGTACTACAGTTTCACTATTAACAAAATAAAAATACCCTCCATCATGCTTTTTATTTCACTTCTAGTCCATCTCTTGCTTCTTGCCTATCCATTTCCTCCACTATTTGGTAATCCTCAATTTTGGAATCCAAGGCCAGGATTCATTTGATAGTGTATTCCCTTGTTTTATTTCTCTTTATCCTACACATGAGTGAAATATGATGTATTTGTTTCCTCTTGTTGGATAACACTTGGTTTTCTCTGCTGCTCCCGCAGGGAGCTTAAGGTTTATTGAATCAAGCCTACAACAGTGCATCAGAGGCACAACTAATAGTCCTATTTTGTTTTTCTCTTTCTTTTGTATCGTTTTTATGGTTTATTTAGCAATGTTCTTTTTTGTATAGACATAGGAAGACAATTGATGCTATGCTGTGTAACATGGGAGTTGATTGACTCCAAAATAATTTTTATTTTATTTTATTTTTTGCTTTTTGGGTCACACCTGGCAATGCTAAGGGATTACTCTTGGCTTTGCTCTCAGGAATCACTCCTGGCGGTGATCAGGGGACCGTATGGGATGCTGGAAATCAAACCCAGGTTGGCCGCGTGCAAGGCTAATGCCCTACCCACTGTGCTATCGCTCCATCCCCTCCATATTTACTGGGCATCCATATTTACTTGACTTAGGCCTCAGTTGCCCTTAGTTCCTAGCACTCCAAGAGCAGTTTCCCAGTGAGGGGCTGATGGACACAGGGCAAACTGTGAGCTACCCTGGCATCAAAATGGTCCAGGCCAAGTGCCATGATACTTATTTATAAGTTAAGAGCACGGTCATGGACAAACTCTGTCATTACTCCAAAAAAGAGGTAACTGAATAAGGACCCTGCTGGGTTAGGAAGGCTAACCTGACCTAAGGACTGTGGTCTGGAATATACAGTGAATGTCCCCAGGAGGAACCAAACTTCAAGCTTATTATGTCTCTTACGGTGCTCATACAAAATGACATTGCTAGAAATATTATAAGTAAATTTACTATGACAGTTTAAGTGGATTTAAGTGGGACTCCGTGCCAGGCTGTTTTCACTTGGGGCACCCCAGAGTGGGGTGGGTGAGACCCATCCCCCCCCCCCAGGGACCCAGTTCTGGCAGCTGAACCACTATCCAACTGCCCCCACACTCCAGGCTACTTTCCGGACTGCAAAGTGGCCACGCAACACATTAGAGAATACTTTCTACCCATTTTCCATAATTGCCACACCATATTTGATGGGGTTCAGATAGTAGGCAACAAATCAGAGACAGAAATATATAAATATATGCCTCTTAGAGAGCCCGGCAAGCTGCCAAGAGTATCCTGCACACACAGGCAGAGCCTGGCAAGCTCCCCGTGGCGTATTCGATATGCCAAACCAGTAACAACAACAGGTCTCATTCCCCTGACCCTGAAAGAGCTTCCAGTCATTGGGAAAAGATGATTAAGAAGAGGCTGCTAAAAAATCAGGGCTGAAAGGAATAGAGACGTTACTGGCACCCGCTCAAACAGGATGACAGTGATACAGTGATATAGTTTAAGTGGATTACTATCTGAGGAGAAAGCAGTACAACCTCCATAAAATCCCGCCCTTGGATGGATCTCCTAATAATCTTGAGTAATCTCCTTAGGTGAGACTCTGTCCTTGAGAAGGTGTGACCTTTACCTCTGTTTGTTGATTTATTAATGTTCAACCCCACCTTTGTATCCCCACACTACATGATTCATATATAACTGTGCTGTAAGGGACTGGGAGCAGAAGATAGAGGCAGGAAGCTGAAGGGAAGATAAAGACTTGAGGATAGAGAAGGCATGGAAAGAAGACATAGAGTGAAGACTAGATGTTAAGGATGAGAAGGTCCACAAGACGCTAAAGACAAGGAGGAGAACTGAGACTTTGGAAACTTTGAGGTCTGCGAGGAGACTTGGGTGATGGAGCTCTTATGACTGGGACTACAGCCATAAGGACAGCTATGACTGTGCCATAAAGAAAGAAATCGGACATCGCTAGGCAGTCCAACCATCCTGCCCGTCCTTTGCCCATTATCCGGAAGAGCCTGGAGAGGCAGCTCTAGGCCACCAAACACCACTTCTGTGTCCTTCCTAGGCGCGGGCCCACCGAACATGTCCAACCTAGAGAAACACCTGTTTAGCCTCAAGTTCGCGGCCAAAGAGCTGAACCGCAGCACCAACACATGCAACAAGGAGAAGGTGATGAAGGCCAAGATCATAAAGGCCATTTAGAAGAGCAACACAGAAGTGGTACACATCCACGCCAAAAATGCCATCCGACAAAAAAACCAGTGAATTTCCTATGCATGTGGATGCTGTGGACACTTGTGTCAATGCCGTGACGATGAGCAAGGTAACCAAGTCTATGGCCAGTGTGGTCAAGTCCATGGACGTGATATTGAAGACCATGAATCTGGAGAGGGTCTGTGCCCTCATGAACAAGTTTGAGCACCAGTTTGAGATGCTGGGTGTCCTTATGCAATAGATGGAGGACACGATGAGCAGCACAACACTGACCATTCTCCAGAACCAAGTGGATATGCTGCTCCAGAAAATGGCAGACGAGGCCGGCCTCGACCTCAACATGGAGCTGCTGTAGGGCCATGCCGGCTCCGTGGGCACCAGCATGGCCTCGACTGAGCAGGATGAGCTGTCCCAGAGACTGGCTCGCCTCCGGAACCAGATGTGATGACCGTCCTGCCTCTGGGAACTGCTGAGCGTGGAGCCGAATGCTGGAAGGCTCCTGATCAAAGATGTTGCTGCCATTTCAACACTTGAATTACATCCTAAAATATATTAACTAGCATGGGTTTACTCACTCTAACATTGTCAAAGAAGTGTTAGTTGGTTTAAGAAACTCCCAGAATTCTGTGTGTGTGTGTGTGTGTGTGTGTGTGTGTGTGTGTGTGTGTGTGTAGCAGGCTGCAAAATTATATTTTCTTTGAGCTGTGTAGTGTTCCATTGTGTATATACCATGGCTCATCTTATTTGGATTGTTTCCATATATTTTGGCTTTTAATAGCACCACAATGAACATAGGTGGTTTCATTATTTATTTTTAAATTAATTTATTTTATTTTTTAATTAATGTTTTTGTGTTCTTGGGGTAGATGCTAGGAAGTGTAATCACTGAGTCATATGGACACTATAATCTTAGTTTCTTGAAAAGTCTTTTTGCCGTTTTCCACAGAGAGTGGAACATTCCAACATTCCTACCAACAGTGGATGAGGGTTCGTTTTCCACCACATCCTCCCCAACATTGTTTCTAGTCTTTATGATATGTGCCATTCTCAGTGGTGTGAGATGATATCTCATTATTGTTTTATTTGCTTTTTGTCTAATAATTATTTATTATTTATTTTGATATAAGAAACATTTGTTTTGTTTTGTTTTGGGGCCACATCCAGAGATCCTTGCTCTGCACCCAGGAATCAGTCCTGGATGGCCTCAGGGGACTTTATGGGATGTCAGAGATAGAACCCAGATTTGCTGTGTGCAAGGCAAGCATCTTACCTGCTGAACTATCTCTTGGTCCTGATATATGAACTGGTTTTTTTTTTTTTTTTTGCTTTTTGGGTCACACCCGACAATGCACAAGGGTTACTCCTGGCTTTGCACTTTGCACTCAGGAATTACTCCTGGCAGTGTTCAGGGACCATATGGAATGCTGGGATCGAACCCAAGTCAGCTGTGTGCAAGGCAAATGCCCTACCCACTGTACTATCGTTCCAGGCTTTTAAGAGCATGAGGTATATGTCATTGTGGTTTTGCTTTGTGTTGCACTAATAGTAACTGAAGTTAAGTATTTACTTCATGTGCCTGTGACTATATGCTTATCTTCTTCAAAGAGTGTCTGTTCAGACTTTTGCTCATTTGTTGGATAGTTGTTGCCATTTTGTTGAGTTGATTTTTTTAAAATAAATATATTTTAGATATTAGTCACCCATTATCTGATATCTTCTCCCAATTACCTTTTTAAAAAAAACTTTTTTAAGTTTTGGTCTATTTATTTTTGCTTTGGGGCCTTACGTACTGCTGCTCAGGAGCTATTCCTGGCTCTGTGCTCAGGAGTGACCCTTGGCAGTGTTCAGGAATATGGTGGTGCTAGGGATTGAACCTAGGTTAAGTGCTTTACTTCCAGTACTATCTCTTCAACCAATCTTTTGTTTTAATCTCTTTTCTTTTTAAGAAACTATTCTTACCCACCCCCATAAAAACTTTAATTGACTAGTTATTTACTGTTTAATGATCTGGTTTCATCTTTATGCATGTGACTATCCAGTTTTCTCAAGCCTTCTCAATTTGAAAAGATTTTTCTTTCTATCTTGTATGATGTTGCTTCCTTTGTCACAAATTAAATGTCCATATATGTGTGGATTTATTTGATTGTTCTCTTTCTTTAATTTGTGTTTTATCTTCTATAGACCATTTTGAGACTTTTAATTTGAGTGTTTTCCCTGTTGATTCTCTGTTTTTTATTTTTCCATTTTTCTTCTGTATATCTTCAATTTTGGGGAGAGGGGTTGGGCCACACCCAGTGGTGTTCAGACCTTACTCTTGGATCTGCTCTTAGGGATCATTCCTGGTGGGCTTAGGGGACCACATGGAGTGCCAGAGGTTGAACATGAGTCAGCCACGTGCAAAGCAAATGCTCTACCCACTGTACTATTTCTCCAGTCCTTAGATATAGCTCTTAATGCAGACATATTTGTATTATAGGTTTGGGTTGGCACGATTGGAACAGGCCCCAAAGGTCGGAATCTCTGTGCTACCTTCCAGCACACGGAAACATTTGAGTTCCAAGATGAAGTGGGAGCACTTTTGTTATCTGTGTGCCAGACTGTGAGCCAAGGAATTTTGTGTTTCTTGCCATCTTACAAGGTAAAGGAATATTTACTATTCTTTTGGCTTTAAAAGATCATATATAATTTATTATAAGAAGCTTCCTACTGTTAAAAGCAACAAGGAGTTTATAGTTTTCTACACATGTTGATATACTTTCACTTACTGATTAATATATTTCTGTTTTAAATCTAAAATATTAAGTCTTGAAAGTCTAAAACATTAAGTCTTCAAGTAGTGTTAATTGTAAAAGAGAATTATTTATGTATATGTGATTTTTTTCTTAAAGGTAGCTTGATATTTTCATAGTTAAAAAAACATTCTTTTTAAAAAATTATACTTTTTTATTGTAATTTAGGTAACATGGTTACAATAGTGTTAGCTTTCATGGTTTTGATGAACAAAGTTATTGTTCCCCAAAACCACTAAAGTGCTCAAGACCCTCCACTGCTGCTCTTGCCTTACCCTAGACAGCTTCTTCCTTCCTCCCTCTCCCCCACTCTTTTTTTGGGGGGGTCACAAAGAAATGCACAGGGAAAACTCCTGGCTCTGCACTCAGGAATTACTCTTGGCAGTGCTCAGAGGACCATATGGGATGCTGGGAATCAAACCCGGGTTGGCTGCATGCAAGGCAAATGTTCTAGCCACTGTACTATCACTCCAGCCCCTCCCTCACTCTTTGGTTGGTAATCTCCATTTTGCAAGCAAAGCTAAGAATTTGTTTTCATTTGATATTGTGTATTCCCTTCTATGTTTCTTCATTTATCACAGACAGGTAAGATCATTTGGTATTTATTCTTCTCCCTCTGACATACTTTTGCTTAACAAGTGATGAACATTTTTTCATATGCCTTCTAGCAGACCCTATGTTCTCCTGAGAGGAGCAGGAAAATTCTGTTATCTCTTTCCAGTTCTGATAGGGTCATTAGTTTTTGTTTTATATATCTTAAATATTAGATCTTTATCTGATGCATTGTGTACAAATCTTTACTCCCGTTCATTCAGTAGGGTGTTCTTTAATTTTAACCTATATTTCGTTTGCCATGCAAAACAATTCTTAGGAAAAAAAGAAGATAATGGGCATCACTTTCTGATTTTTAATCATACTATTGTAACCAAAACATTGTGTTACTGGAATAAGGATAGATTCTTAAACCAATGAAATAGAGATGAGAGCCTAGGGGTAAAACCTCAAATATATGAACAATTAGCCTATGACAAAGGAGCCGGGTGTGTCAAGCTGAAAAAAGAAAAATCTTTTCTACAAATGGTGCTAAGGAAAACTTGATAGTAACATGCCCTGCCCTCCCCACCTACTCTGATCCCTGGAAAAATAGTATTTTTGAAACCATACCTTATACCACCCAAAAAAATGTTAATTCAAAGTTGGTTTTGTCTCATGAATTTAAAAATAATAGAATAAGATTATTTTCACCCCTGTGTTCATAGCAGCATTATTCACACACAATAAGCAAAAATAAAATCATCCTGTATGTCCATTAATAGATAGCTAGATAAAAAGGTAGGAAATATGGGTTTTGCTCAGCTCTAAATATGAAATATTGCCATCTGCAACATTGTGGATGAAACTTGAGGGAATTATGCTAAACGAAGTCAGTAGGATAAAGTCAAAATACTGAATCATTCCATTTGTTTATTCAGGAATCAACCCTTGAATTTGTTTGTTTTTAAGTGAAGCAAAACAAATTTTTTGTGCCATGCACTGCCATGCTCTGTGATTACTTCTGGCTCTGTACTCAGGAATTACTCCTGGCAGTGCTTGGGGGACCATATGGGATGCCTGGGATAGCACCCCAGGTCAGCTTATGCAAGGCAAGCATCCTACCCACTGTGTTATCTCTCTGACCCAAACAAGATAGTCTTTATTGAAATGTAGAAAGATATGAGGAGAGAGAAACAGAAGTAGTAGAGAGAACACTGGCTTCTCCAGAAAGGGGGAGGGGGGGACTAGCTCTTGATTTTATCAATGTTTTGGATATATTTTTTTCTGTTCAATTTCACTTATTTATACGAATTTTTCTGTTAATTTCTATCTACTGACTCGATCTTACTTGTGTCGAAGAGATTTGACATTGCGCAGACAGACATACAGAAGAGAACTTGCGTTAGATTTTCTTTCAGGGGAAAATGCGAGACAAGGACTAAAATGTAAAAGAATTGTTTAATTTTCTATTGTTGTGTAGCAAATTAATACAAATCTAGTACCCTAAAACAACACATACTTTTTTTTTTAAAGTAAAAACAGATTTTATTTGAAGGTATTTTGAAGGGGAGGAGAAAGAGAGTGGGAGAGAGTGGAGAGTAACGTGCTCAAGAGAGAACCCAGACTGCTTCAAGGGTGGAGAGAGCCCCACATACATCCAAGCATTAACTAGGAAAGTACACATCTCAGGAGGGGAGATGTAGGTGACACTTGTGCTTGGTCACATGGGTATAAGTGGCACATGGGCTTAGGAAGCATATGCACCACTCTTTTTTTTTAAATTTTATTGAATCGCTGTGAGATAGTTATAAGCTTTCATGTTTGGGTTACAATCACACAATGATCAAACGCCCATCCCTCCACCAGTGCACATTTCCCACCACCAATATCCCTGGTGTAGCCCCCCTTTCCCACCCTCCTCCTGCCTCCATGGCAGACATCCCCCATAATCTCTCTCTACTTTTGGGCATTATGGTTTGCAATACAGGCACTGAGAGGTTATCATGTTTGATCCTTTATCTACTTTCTGCACACATCTCCCATCCCGACCAGTTCCTCCAGCCATCATTTTCTTAGTGATCCCTTTTCTATTCCAGCTGCCTTCTCCCCTTTGCTCATGAGGCAAGCTTCCAGCTATGGAGCAATCTACCTGTCCGTGTATCTATAATCCTTAGGTGTCATCCTCATGTTATGTTGTTTTATACTCTACAAATGAGTGCAGTCCTTCTATGTCTGTCCCTCTCTTATATGCACCACTTTTTATCTCTTTAGATGGTTCAGTAATCTAGGTATGGCTTAACTGGGTTTTCAACTGCAGATTTTATTGACCTGTAAGGGGTTCCATTGTTCTCTTCATTTTTGGTAAATACATCTCTGCTGCAGCAAGACTGAGTTTCTTAATAATTTTTGTCTGGAAATGATTTTTATCTCTTCAGGGCTGTCCTCAGGTTCTAACCACGCAGTTCTCTCAATATAGCAGCTTCTTTAAAGGAGATGCCTACAGCCTACAGCCTCTCCTTTAAGGGTTTTTTCCTAATTAAACTATGTCCTTCCATGATAATCTACTTTTTGTTTAGTTTAGAGTCAATTAATGTGGGCCATAGCCATATTTGAAAAATTCCTATACCTTTACTAAATGCAAAGGGCTGGAGCGATAGCACAGCGGTAGTGTGTTTGCCTTGCATGCAGCCAACATGGCCGACCCAAGTTCCATTCCTCCGCCCCTCTCGGAGAGCCCGGCAAGCTACCGAGAGTATCTCGCCTGCATGGCAGAGCCTGGCAAGCTCCCCCTGACGTATTCGATATGCCAAACACAGTAACAACAAAGTCTCCAATGGAGACGTTACTGGGCTGGAGCGATAGCACAGCGGGTAGGGCGTTCGCCTTACAAGCGGCCAACATGGCCGACCCGAGTTCGATTCCTCCGCCCCTCTCGGAGAGCCCGGCAAGCTACCGAGAGTATTCGATATGCCAGACACAGTAACAACAAAGTCTCCAATGGAGACGTTACTGGGCCCGCTCGAGCAAATCGACGATCAACGGGAGGGCCTTTACCTTACCCTTTACCTTTACTGGGCCCAATTGAGCAAATCAATGATCAACGAGAGGGCCTTTACTTTACTTTTACTTTTGCTAAATGCATATCCTAATCAAGAGGTAAAATCTTATTTTTGTTTATGCCACTCTTTGGCTCAGGAATTAAACAATATAGAGTTTGTACAGAGGGCAGGAATATTTTACATGTCCATATAGGGGTAAATAATGCCAAGGTAAGAAAGGACTGTTAGGACAAATATTTTTCTTTCTCCTGCACAGAGAAGGTGTGTTAAACTGAAATGACATTTTGAACTGAAGTCAGATAGCAAAGATATCATGATTGGCAAGTTATAAATTCTCCATGATTGTAGGATAACACTGTTTTTCCTTCCTCAGGGAGCTTACGTTTATCGGGTCACACTCATCCCAGGGCACTGAACTTGTATTATAAGTTTAATATTGCCTTTCTTCTCTTCTTATATCTTTTGAATAGTTTACCTTAAAGCAATGTCCTTTCTCTATGGACACGGGAAGAGAGTTAGTATTATGCTTTGTAACTTGGGAGTTTATTGACTCCAAATAATATTTACTCCTGGGCATCTGCTTTCTTGACTCAGTTGCCCTTAGCTCCTAGCACCCCAAAAGCAGGGCCCCGACAAGGAACTGAATGGACCCAGGGCAAGCTGTGAGCTACTCTGGCATCAAAATGGGCCAGGTCAGAGCGCCTCAATACTCAACTATAAGCTGAGGGCATGATCATGGACAAATGCTGTCATGATCCAAAAGTAAGTAATAACGAGACTAGGACCCTGCTGGGGCTAGGAAGACTAACCTGGCCTGAGGACTGCGGAATGTATAGTGAGATGTTTGTATCTCTTACTGTGCTCACACAGAATGACATTGCTAGAAATATTAGAATATTAGATTTACTACAACTATTTAAGTAGATTACTAGCTGAGGAAAGAACACACCCTTGTTAGGATCCCACCCTTGAGCAGATCTCCTAGTAATCTGGAGTAATCTCTTTAGATGAGATTTTATCCTTGAGTTAATTTCCTGGAGGAGTGGTCTTACCTCTCTTTGTTGATTTGTTAATGTTCAACCCACCTTTGTGTCACCACCCTATGTGATTGCTATATAAACTAAGAATGTAAGCTCAGAGAGAGGAGAGTCAGAAGTGAGAGGGCTCGGGCTCCAGAGATCTAGAGTCAGAGCGAGAGGGGCTCAAGCTTGAGAGAGAGAACAGCCGTCCTGATCCAGGCCACACACAGTGGCTCA